CGTTTTTTGTTTTTGTACACTTGACGCACATCACCGCACACATGAGACACGACAAAAAAAAAGAAAAGACAGAAAGCAAATAGCAAGCAGCCACAGAAAGAAAACTTTTTCTATACCACCTCCCTCATACATACATACATACGTGTATATATATATATATATATATATATATATATACATAATTATGTTTGGAGGACGGGGCATGCCACACTTATGCCACTGCTTCCTTCACTCCCCTCCTTTTTTTTTTTTTTTCAGGAATGTCGTTGTTAATGGGCAAAGAAAAAAAAAAAAATGAGCGTCACACTCACGCCCACACGATCTCCGTTCCACCTCCTTCCTCTTCCTTCTATTGTTGTTGCCTAATTGCTGCAGCACCTACCCCGCTGATGTTCTTTTAAACGCTTTCTTGTGCGCAAGACCACCGGGTCAACACCACTCCCTTTCCCATTGGAGCTAACATGGATGGTTTCGTTCTCCCACACCCATGTAAACTTGCGTGGAAAGCGCTCCATCGCGGCAAAAATAACAGCCTGCACGACCGCTTCAACATTCACACCTCTTCGACCAACCGCATAGGACCAGCCTGCAAAGCCATGACGTGCACACAGTTCATCAAGCGCTGCGTGAGATGCCCACTCCGGTGGTGATGCGAAACCCGAGAGAAGGTCATACTTGTTGACAACAAGCCAACATGGAGGGTTTTCACTCTCAATTTCCTCAATTTTTCCTTTCGATGAACTTCCGCCCCTGGTGTCAAATTTGCCTCCAATGGCCGGTGGCGTCGACGATACCAATAATGATTTTTCCTTCGGAATGTGGATCTTTTGCTCCACATCGCCCTTCCACGACAAGGCGCTGATAATGGAATCCATGCTGTTGCTCATTTCACAAAAAATAAGCACAGCAATAGCGCCCGTATAAAAGATACGTGTCATCTTTTTTGTACTCTCTTGACCTTGTATATCCCACACCTTAACGATTGCTGGAACGTGGACGAGTGGCCACTTCCCTTCCGTTTCATTCTTCACATCATTTTCATAAAAAATGGAACAAATTCTTCTACCAGTACTGCTGCTATTTGGAAACACCTTCAAATGAGGCGGCGGAATTCGCGGTCGTAAAAGGACATACTCGCTTCCAAAGGGATTATGTGGAAATCCATGACTACTGTTACTGTTACCATTGTTGCCGTTCTCTTTACCCACAGAAGAAGAGAGAAGACGTTCCCCATTTGTATTAGGGGAAAAAGGCAAACTGCACGGTAGCGCAATATTGTATGCGTTATCTCTGTTGCTTTTGTTGCTGTTGCTATTGTCGCCGCTGATGCTGCTGCTGCTGCACCCAAATGCGTCTTCCCGGTGTAACCTTTGATCGTTCCCATCAAGTGCATTGTCGCCCACAAAATTATTGCTTGTTGTCCTTTTAAACTCCTCTACACTTCGATTCTTTTTTTCAAAATACGCCGGCGATGGGACGGCAATGGACATTTCACGCCGATGAAACTCCATCTGTATGGTTGTGGACAAGTGCATTGGGGGATTGCCGGTTTCCCAGTAGCGAAGAAATGTCGTCTTCCCCGTGTTTGCGGCCCCAACGCACACCAACTTAATGTCAATTTCACGCATCGTAGACTGTCTCGTTGCTACTGTCATCGGCGTGTGGTGAGTACGACCGACAGCGTACCTCTTTTTCTTTTTTTTGTTTTCTTTCTTTTGACCCTCAAACGTCACTACTCGCACAGTCCTCCTCTCCTCTTCCTTCTCGAGAGTAGAAAAAGAAAAAAAAAACAGGGCACAAACTCAAAAGAAATCGGACAAAGTGGCTGGGGAAACAGTACGGGGATAACTCTTTACTGTTGCCATCGTCTCCCGTGTTATCCATTTTTTTTTTTCTTTTCTTTTTTGTTGTTATTTCTTTTTTTCTTTAAATATTCGCCTCATATTTCATTTATGGTTTAATCGAATGCTGTGGGCCTCACTTTACACCTGGGAGCCGCGCCCAATACCCCTACCTTTTTCTTTTTTGTTCTACTTAATGTCTCCTCCTCCTTCTTCTTCACTCCATTGCCAGTAATGTTATTGTTTGGCAGACATCCGTCGAAGACGTTCTTCTAGCGGCAATTTCTCCATGCGCTGTCGCTTGCGGGACGCATGAATTGCCTTGTCGTGACTTGTAAATGATACGCGACTTCCCTTCTTGACCTCATACAGTGTCACCTGCCGCTTATTCTCCTTGCCATTGCTGTCGTGAAGAATGCCATCCGCTTCCTTCGTGTCGTTCTGCGTGCGTGGCCGCTGCCGCCGTCGCTGCTGCTTGCCGCTACTTTGCACACCCTTCAGATGCCGTCTTGCGTCATCATCATCATCGCCACTGTCGTTGACGTCATCGCTATTGCCATTCCGCCTATTCCCCTCCTCGTCGTTGCCACCGTCGCTCTCCGCGTCTGGAACGATGGTGAAGAGTTCCGACTCGTACCGCTGACGACGCCGACTCGCCTGGGCACGGCGCTCGTTGATGATCTGCAACAGTTTTGCATACTCCGGGTTGGACGCGTCGAGGGCAAAGGACGACGCACTGTTGCCAACAAAAGCCTTTTGGAACCGCGGGTCCGCCCTTGCAGCCGCCAGCGCCTGGCACTTTGCGCCCACTCCGTTCATGGCATTGTCATCATCGTTGTCACTATGGACGGCATGGGCAACACCATCATCATCACCGTTAGAAACACGTTTGAACTTACTGATGCGATTCTCCCAACGTTGTTGCAGCTTGCGCTTCGCATTCTCCTGGACGTAGCGGTTGAATTCGCCGGGATCAATAACGGCCTTCAACTCACGGTACAGACGATTCTCAATGAAGGCACCGTGCATGGCAGGCCGCACCTTCCCACCTGCAAGATCCTCAGCGGTCATTCCAAGTGCATCCATTTCGCTTTTTGGGACAAAGGTGTAGTCATCATATACGGTTGTCATCTCCTTTTCCTCAAGCTCTTCTGTGAGAACCTCAAGGAATGATGCCCATTGGGGAGCGACGCCAAGCTGTGGAATAAAATGAACCTGAACACGTGGCGCATCACAGCAGATGCAAACAACACCGCTGTCGCTGCACTCATACGGCTCGGCCATGTTATGTTGACTACGCAACACACAGAAGTCTGTAATGTCGGCAGGCGCCTCGATGCTCGTGAAGTTGCTGCCATCTTTTTTGTTCCAGACCTTCAACGATCGGGTATCCGCGGAAAGGATGTGTGAGGCCTCACCTGTAGAGGTGCTGCGGCCTTGAAAGAAGTAAGTCTTCACAATGGGCAAGGCATTCATATGATCCTTCACAATAAGGGGTTTCTGTAACCGAAGATCATATAATAGGACATGCCCAGACTCTGTACCGCAGCTAAATAGCAGTCCACTCTCGTCGTCTGTTGCTATATGACGCAGCTCACAGTTCTCATCAATGCCAGACAATGCACCAGGCCCAGTAACCGTCAAACGTGACGCGCATGAACCAGCGCGACTGTCCCAAGCCTCCACAACACCATCTGCACCGGCACACATAATAAGTCCATGATTCTTAAAGACTTCCACATGGTTGATACCAGAGGCAGACTGTGTCTTGTAGCTTTCAACAAAGGCACCCGTCTCGAGACTCAAACGGAAAATCTCGTGGGATGTGCCACCTGAAAGAAGTTCAGCAGTGTACGGATGGTACGCGAGAGATCGCATTGTGTGCGGTACTCTGACACGATCTATAATTGCCGCAGAGTGATGCACAGTAATTTGTCGTCCTTCCCCTCGCAGCGCAAACTTGCGGAAGTCAGGTGAAAGTGAAACCCCACCAAGAATTGGCATGTCCGCATTAAAACTGTATTTCATGCTTAGCTGATTCACATCAAAGCATTTCAGCCGTGGAGGGTAATCCCCAGAGACAAACAAATGCGTCCCGTTGGCGGTGCGGAATATCGTGCGGGCAAAATGTGGGAACTCGAGGTCATGGATGAGTTCAATTCGGTGCTCTCCACCTGCAAGGCGCTTGTTTTTCTTACGCTCGCTGATCCACTCTGGTAGTGACTTCCCCGCAGTGAGATTGTAGGTCTTTACCCTGTTATGAAGAGACACCTGCATCCTTTACACACGTTCCTGTCACGCTTATATGTAATGTGGCTGCCTTTTTAAAATTATTATTATTTATTTTTCTTCTAATTTATTATTATTTTATTATTTCGCCCCTTCCCCCGCCCCTCTTTCCTTCCGTCCTTTTCCCTCCTAGCCGCCTCTGAAATGTCCTCCACGGACAAAATGCTGCAAACACCACCACCACCACCACCACCGCCACCAACAACCCTTTCGGCCAAAATGAGAAAAAAAAAAAAAGGGCGCATCTATACAATTGGGCTTCAATGTGTCGTCTGTGTTGCAAACAACAATATTTCTCCCTCTCTTTCTCCCTTCTATTTCTTTTTTTGCCTATGAGAAATAAACGTCCCTTTTCATTTTTGTTCATTCCCGCTTAAATTCGTTCCATTCTTCTTCAAAGTCTGAACTTCAAACAGTGCATGCGTAATTCCCTCTGTTTTCCCCACCCATCTACCATTGTCAATTCCGTGTCATTATCCCCCTTCCCCTACGCACGCACTCTCTATCAGCCACTTCATCCTACCACTAAAAAAATTTCTTCAATCTCACTTGCATAATGTTATCTTATATACGTGTGTGTTTTTTTTTTTTTCGGTTCAGTCTGTCCTTTGTTCTATCTTTCTTTTTTTTTTTTATGTTTTCTCTCCATTCTTTATTAAATATTTTCATCCAATCCGCCCTCGGTTTTTTATTTTTTTTTTTTCTCTTTCTTTTCCTTTTTTTTTTTTTTTTCCTTTTCTCGTGAGTCAAGCTATCCTATCGCTTATGAATTATATGCAGATGTAAGTAATACATTACATCTAGGCAGCTCTCTCTCTCTCTCTCTCTATTTCCCTTTCCCGGCCTGCTTATATACACTTAAGTGTGTCATCAGTCCACATCCGTGGGCTGCGGCGGGGCATCTGCGCCGCCGTTCCCCTCCGGAGCCGCCCCTCCCGTTGTTGATGGATCGTGCGGCCGCTCCATCGTACGCTTGATGTAGAAGGCGGAGAGAATTGGGTGTGCCACATGCTCAATCTCCTTGTTCTTGGCGTCGTACTCCTCCTTCGTGGCCTCGGGGTTCTCGTCAAGCCACGCAGCGGCGGCGTTTACAACGGCCTGAATCTTCTGCCGGTCCTCCAAAGTAATACCGGCCTCCACATCCGGCTCGCTGAGTGTGGCACGTAGCGAAAAGGTGTAGTTTTCCACCGCGTTGCGGGCCTCAATACGCTCGGCATTCAGACGGTCCTCGTTGGCAAACTGTTCTGCCTCATGTACCATCTTCTCGATCTGATCCTTTGACAAACGACCCTTGTCATTTGTAATGGTGATCGCATGCGTCTTGCCACCCATCTCTTCCACCGCGCTTACCACAAGAATGCCGTCCGTGTTCACGTCAAACGTTACGGTGATGCGCGGCTTGCCGCGTGGTGCGGGCGGAATATCGGTAAGTGTGAAGGTTCCAAGGCACTGACACTGAGTCACGAGAGGCCGCTCTCCTTCATACACCTTAATTTCCACATTACGCTGGTTGTCCGCATTCGTGGAAAACGTCTGTGACTTTTGGATGGGTACCGTTGAGTTACGTGCGATAAGGACAGACATCACACCACCAGCCGTCTCCACACCTAGTGAAAGCGGAGTGACATCGAGAAGAAGCAGACCCTCCGTCTTCTCGGAACGGCCGCCTGAAAGGATATGCGCCTGCACGGCGGCACCGTATGCTACCGCCT